GATAATTATGAGTTCAACACACTTATATTGGATAACTGCTTTGGCCTCTGGTATTCAGCTGGACAATACGTAAGGTAAGGAAGCTTTGAAGCAGAATTGCGTGTTTGGGGAAGGCAGTTCCTAGAAGGGTGCCTAGAAGAGCCTGAAATTGGAAAAACGCTCCAGGTTTGGGAATCGTTTTCCTGATTGTTTCTTCTGAGCATGAGCGGAAGTCCTTCTCCGAGCCGTTTCTGGTGATTTAGTGATAGGTGACATATTCAGGACAGAGCAATCCGTTTCTATTTCGTTCTTCCTGACGCATCACAAGCGGGTAACCAGATAGCACATTTGTCTTCCTTACAAGAAAAAAAAGATTGCATTCAGAAAAGTCTTAAGGCAATCCTATTCCTCCTCTTCCCATAGTAAAGATGGCGGCGCCCGAGCGTAAGTTACAGACAACACCACTTCCGCATTACTCTTGCGCCCTGATCCAAGATGGCGGACGAGGCCACACGGCGTGTTGTGTCTGAGATTCCAGTGCTGAAAACTAATGCCGGACCCCGAGATCGGGAGTTGTGGGTACAGCGACTAAAGGAGGAATACCAGTCTCTTATCCGGGTCAGTTGTGCTTTATGATCGGCCGCGTAGCAAAGGGCTTGCAGGTAATCAGGTGTTCTCAGGAATAGGCTCCGTGTGGAAGCCGCTTCCGGTTTTTAATTTTAACTTCTAAATTCAGAGAAATGGGACGGTTTGCTGGGCTGGGTGGTTTAGGAAGAATGACGGGAAGCTGGAAAGAAAGACTCAGATTAGTAAAAGTGGGACTATATCTTATAGCTAAAGACAGCAGTATTTTAAGCTTACACCTACCCGGAAGGTGACGTGTCTCTCCTGCTCCAGGTGTTTGTCCTAGGGGATGTAAAAGTGGTGGTCAGAAGTATTTGTTGGGCCCTTAAATCCCAACGCATCTCTCTGCTCCCTCTTTCATTCTCCGTAACGAAGAAAAACACGTTAGGACTGAAAATTCAAGTAGGTGTTAGTTGTTGAGAGTTGGATCGAATGTCTCTCTATACCCAATGTGAGGCACACAATAGTTGGATAACTATTTTAGAAATAGTTAGAAATGAGCCATCTTATCAGCTAATCTTCATATTATGAAAAGGGAAGAAAATCTTTCATAGTGTTCTCAGCAGATATCCTACTCATGTATTCATTCAGTGTGTGTGTGTGTGTGTGTGTAAAATCTCAATATCATTATTGTCCCTTGGGTCTAAAAAGGGGAAACAAAACCGAGTAAGGAGGAGCCTACCGTGGTAGACAGAAACAGTATCATACAGTGTTTAAATAGGGAGAAAGAAATGGCCAGGATGGTCTGAAAGCATGAGAAGCAATATCTAATCGAGCTTGAGTTTGGTCAAGGAAGGCTTCCTGAGAACAGTAATGTTTGGGCTGAGATTTAAAGGAAAATATAAGTAATGCTAATTAATAGAACATAGAGGTGGGAGAAGGATGCTTAAGACATGAGAACATCATAAGCAAAGGAATATAAGTTCTATGTGGCATGATGTTTATAAAGAAACAAATAGTTCAGAGTTGCTAGAGATTCAGATAGAGGCAGGAAGTAAACAAGGCTGGGGAAATAGATTTGAGCACTTGAATTTTATTTTGTGGTACTAGGGATTGAACCCTAGGGCACTCTACCACTGAGTGACATCCTCAGCCATCGCTCCCACCTTTATTTTTTTGTTTATTTTTAATTTTTTTGTGGTGCTGGGGATTGAACCCAGGGCCTTGTGCATGTGAGGCAAGCACTCTACTGACTGAGCTATATCCCCAGCCCCCTTTTTATTTTTTATTTTGGGACAAGATCTCTGTAAGTTGCACAGGCTGGCTTACAACTTGCCGTCCTCCTGCCTTAGTCTCCCCAAGTAGCTGGGATTATTAAGTGTGTGCCACCCATCACTCTAGTTTGAATTTTATTTGGAGGCGTTGGGATGCCTTTAAAGGATTTTAAGCTGATAAGTTACATGACCAGATTTGGGTGTAGGTCAGTGACACAGAGAAAAATACAATTGACCAGGGTTAAGGTTAAAGGTAGAAGAAAAGTTAGGAGGCTGTCATTAATCCAAGTGAAAGAAAGATGACGATCTAAATGAGGCAGTGTGGTCATAATAGAAAGGAGAGGTAGATTTGAAGAATATCCAGCCAGGCATGGTGGCACACACCTATCATTCCAACTACACAGGAGGCTAAGCCAGGAGGGTCACAAGTTCAGGGCCAGCTTCAGCAATTTAGTGAGGCCATAAACAATTTAGTGAGATCCTGTCTCAAAAATAAAAAGGACTGGGGACATAGCTTAGTAGTAAAGTAGCTCTGAGTTAAATCCCAGTATCAAAAAGGTCAAGGATAATTCCCAGGTTTTTGGCTTCATTGACTAAATGAATGCTAACACCTCAACCTGAGATTGAGAATGCAGGATGAGAAACAGGTCTGAAGAAATACTGTAATACCAGGTGGAAGTGCCAAGTTTCAGGAATATTCAAATTAAAGGTCGAAATTTGAAGATACAGTTGTATACTTAAGTCCAAATTTCTGAGGAAAGATCTGGACTAAAAATAAAAGATCTGGTAGTTATCAGCATGTGGGTGCTAGTGGAATCCAGGACTGCTTAAGGCCCTCCAGGAAGGGAGTATACCATAAGGTGAGTTGTGGGCTGAGGGCAGATACTATCAGAAATAAGAAAAGAATCCAGATGATATCTTTACATCTTTTGTGCCTATTAAATTGAATGGAACCCAAGTCTTCTATTCTTTGCTCTGGGCAAGTCCCCAACTTACCAGGGTAGCCTTGTCTTTAGTTTTACTTATGTCATAAAAATTTGGTAAATGTACTGAGAGAGAAGTAATCATAATTTTCTTTTGTGGGGAGAGGGAATGCCCGTGGCTCTAATTTTCCCCTCAAAGATTTCATTCTCTGCTTTTAGTATGTAGAGAACAACAAGAATGCAGACAATGATTGGTTCCGTCTGGAGTCCAACAAGGAAGGTACCCGGTAGGTATACCCTCTTAGGAGGTGGGGGATGGGAGTCTTACCTGGCTTGTGCAGTTTGGTATCCCAAAATCCACTGCTGGAACTGCCTTGTGTCAGGTTAGCTATCTGTAATTCTATAGCCCCAGATTTCCCCAACCTGGGAGATGAGTCTCCCAGTTTAGCCCTAAGCCAAGATATCATTTGAGTAAAAGAGGGATAGGCAAATTTAACTGAGATTTGGTCTTTATTACAGGTGGTTTGGAAAATGCTGGTACATCCATGACCTCCTCAAATATGAGTTTGACATCGAATTTGATGTAAGTGTGATGAAGTGGGAAATATGAAGGTTAGTGGAAGGGGAGAGATCAGATGACTATTAACAAGCTAATCTTTCTTGAAGAAACCAAAGAAAACTTTACAAATGGGGGGGGGGAGTTGAGGTTTGAAGCAAGCATTATTTATAGCTTTTAATCTCCATATCAGGAATCCTGGCATGTCGAAGCTGCTGGGGAAGTTTGCTGAACATTTCAATTCAACCAAGAAATGTGTGGGAAGATTAAAGAGAGAGAAAGAAAGAAAAGAAATATGTGTGTTTGATTAGAGTAGTTCCTATCTAGCCTAATTCTGTTTTATTAAGGTTCTATAATTCCTCCAGATTCCTATCACATATCCCACTACTGCTCCAGAAATTGCAGTCCCTGAGCTGGATGGAAAAACAGCCAAGATGTACAGGTAGGACTGAAAATGAGATGGAGAAGGACTTAGGGAAGAACTCTCAAGGCAGAAATTTTTCTGAGTCTACTCGCTTAGAGGGATTTAAGCCTGGGCAAAGTACTTAGGTGACTTTGTTCTTAGTTTTGAGCACTGGTGGTCTTCTTGTGTTCCCAGAGGCTGCTGTGCATTTTGGTGAATTTTGCATATCAATCTCTTTCTCTCATACCTCTCACAGGGGTGGCAAAATATGCCTGACTGATCACTTCAAACCCTTGTGGGCCAGGAATGTGCCCAAGTTTGGACTAGCTCATCTCATGGCCCTGGGGGTAAGTCTGGTATACTTGGTATAGGAAGGGGAGGTGTTGGGGTTAGGCCCTGGAAAAGTAACTGAGGGTAAACAAGGAATAATAGTGATGTCTCTTGGGCACATTCCCCCAGAATCTCTCTCCAGGAAGGAGCTTCTGATGGAACAAGAGGCATTAACTGGGTGGTAGTAATCTCACAGGGTCTCCCTTGTATTGCAGCTGGGTCCATGGCTGGCAGTGGAAATTCCTGATCTGATTCAGAAGGGTGTGATCCAGCACAAAGAGAAATGCAACCAGTGAAGGATCCAGCCACTGAGGCAGGACAGTGGCTACATTCCTTTCTTGTGCATCACTCTTCTTACTCATCTGATCACTTCTCCCTATCGCTCTTCCACCTTTGGTTGTTTCTAAGTTGCTGCAGCAGGCATTATTGATGAAAACAACATACACACAGTATTGTCACTGAATTTTTAAGTTAGGCTGCACAGGGAGGGGAAAGACTTGCTTTAGAAAATGAAGAGGCAATTTATATTCCCTTTCCAGGTAGAGCAATGGAGGCCTCAATCCTGGTGGCATAGGGAGTAGCTGAAAATGAGTACATAGCCTTTTTGATTTCTGTTGACAACCCATCAATAAAGCTGCTTCCCATGGTAACCTGTCGTTTTCGTTGGTGGCTTTTAACAGAAGGTGAGCAGCTAAAACCAGAGGCATATTGAACAGACACAGTAGGTTGGGAGGAAGTGGGGAATGGAGTATGCTTTGATCAGGAGCTAGGGAATTAAAGAAAATCTGACTGCTCTCCCTGCTGCTGAGATCTGCTTTGTCCTTTAGCAGCATGCCATGCTTTTCCCTACTGCTTACGCCTGCAAGAAGGTTGAAGAATGGTTTTGCAGATCCAGCATTCCCTGCCCTCTAGGGATCTTCCTATCCCTATGTGGAGTACTAGATGCTTCGCTGTTGATCGTCTGCTATCTGGACCCAGGCCTGCAGCTTGTCACTCTAGCACCCGCCCTGATCTGTGTTACAAGCTTCGCGGCCATTCTTGAATTTTCCCAGGACGGGATGACAGAAGTCTGGACCTCGGAACTTGCTTTGGAGCGATGGTTTAAAGACCACTCAGAGCAGGGCTGGGAACTAGCGGTTCTAAAGTTGGCAGCGTTTCCATGGTGTCGGCCCAGGAGCCGTGGGGGCGGGCTCACGCAAACGCAGAGGGGGAGGCAGGATTTAGAGTGTGGGTGCGCAGGCGCCTTGAGAGACTGTGAAGCCGGTGGCCGGTGGCCGGGTGGGACCAACAAAGATGGCGGCGGCCCTTGCGGCGGGAGAGATCTGGGCAACAGCTGCGGCTAAAGCTGCAGCCCGGCCGGCGGGGGGGCTGCACGGGGGTAGGAGGGGGTGACCCTGAGCTGGAGTCTGGCCCTGGCTGGCCTCCCCTGCCACCTCGCAGGGGGACAGGTACGGGCCGGGGTGTTATGGCGGGGGAGGGGAAGCTGAGGGAAGAGTGCTCCAGACCCCAGAGGGTTCTCCACAAAGGCAGAGGCTCGTGGGGCCCTGCGGGGCCTGGGAGAACTGGGCTGGAGGGACAACATTCCTAGACCGCAGGGAATACGCCGCCGGACCCTGTAGCCAATCAGCGGTCTCGGCCTTTTTGCCCTCGAGGGGGGCGGACCCGGGTAAAACCCTGCTGTGGTGGGTGAGGTGCAGAGATTAGGGGTCAAGAATTGTTCGTCCTGCATCTCCAGTTTTTGACCCCTGAGCCCCAACACCATGTCGGAGCTTGTAGGTGGGGGAGGGAATGGGTCGCAAATCACCCATTTAGTTTGCTTCATTTGCAACCCGGAGGGGCAGGGATTTGAGGGTGGAATGCTGTCTTTTGAGGAGTTATTCTTGCATCCATACTTGAATTTAACCACAGGACCAGGGTACACCCCACTTGACTAGCCAGGTATAAGACCTCTTTTTATGAGTTTTGGATTATTAAGACAATTGATTAGCACAGGCTTTTTAGTAAAGTTGTATTCTCTAGGGAAAGAGTGGGGGTATTGAAAGGGTCAAAGTCATGAGCTGCTATCTTTCCTTCATTTATTTACTCAAGGGCTACTAAGTATTTTCTTCGTGGCAAACACTCCTAGGTCCTGGGAATATAATGACTAATCTGATAGACATGACTTGTGTCTTCAGTGCATGTTCAAACTAATATGGTAGCCTAGGGTCTCATCTCCCTCCATAATTCAGATGCTGACCACCTCTTCTCCTCCCAGGTCCAGCCTGTGGTGTCCACAATGCCCCAGGCCTCTGAGCACCGCCTGGGCAGGACCCGAGAACCACCTGTCAATGTCCAACCCCGAGTGGGATCTAAGCTACAATTTGCCCCCCGGGCCCGCAGCAAGGAGCGCCGCAACCCAGCCCCTGGGCCAAACCCTATGTTACGACCTTTGCCTCCTCGGCCAGGTCCCCCTGATGAACGGCTCAAGAAACTGGAGCTTGGACGGGGTCGGACCTCAGGCCCTCGTCCCAGAGGCCCCCTTCGGGCAGATCATGGGGTTCCCCTGCCTGGCTCACCACCCCCAACTGTGGCTCTGCCCATCCCATCCCGGACCAACCTAGCCCGTTCCAAGTCTGTGAGCAGTGGGGACTTACGTCCAATGGGGATTGCCTTGGGAGGGCATCGTGGCACTGGAGAGCTGGGGGCTGCACTCAGCCGCTTGGCACTCCGGCCTGAGCCACCCACTTTGAGACGTAGCACTTCTCTCCGCCGTCTTGGGGGCTTTCCTGGACCCCCGACCCTGCTGAGCATACGGACAGAGCCCCCCACTTCCCATGGCTCCTTCCACATGATATCTGCCCGGCCCTCTGAGCCTTTCTACTCTGATGACAAGATGGTGAGGAATTGCCAACACACGTGGCCTTCCAAGCTCCTATACCTTTATGCCTCCGGCTTTCTTGTCATCATGTGATTTTCCTGTCCCTTTTTTTCCTAAGTTCCTTATAGCAGTGGATCCTCTCCTCTCCCTTACTTCTGGGCCCTTCTAAACCCTTTTCTGGGTTGTCTGTGAGTCCCCAGCATGGTGTGCCATTTTGGTCCCCAGGGAATTAACCCAACTATTTAGAATACTTCTTTGGGTCCCCAGGCTCTTCCTTTCCCTTACTGCATTTTCTCTCTTAGGACTCTGCCTAGGCCTAATTAATCTCTGGAGTTGAAGAGGGGTGGGTTCAGAACATCTGAGCTAATGTGGTTGCCCATTTCCCTAGCTAAGTGAGCTAGGCTGGTTGCAGTTGGTGCCTGCAAGAGAGGGTGCAGGAAAGGGCCACGGGGGCAGGAGGGGGCTTTGGAGGTAGCAAGGTGGGGGTGAGGAGCAGCTGGGCAACCATGCCAGTGCTTGGGGAGTTGCCCCAGGAGCTGCAGCGCCGTCTAGCTGGGCAGAGGAGTAAGTGGGGAATAGGTGGGACAGCCATGGCTGAGTCTGTGGTACACTCAGCTGTGATGGGCTTACTGCTCATGACCAGTGAGGTAGGGAGACAGTGAGGGAGAGGGTAGAGTTTGGGCACGTATAGGGTGGGGGAGGCAGCAGGCAGCATGCTATTAGAAGATTAAAGTGGATATATGGGAAACTGCTGACTGTACCCTGACATTTCAGGCTCATCATACGCTGCTTCTGGGCTCTGGTCATGTTGGCCTCCGAAATCTGGGAAATACAGTAAGAGCCATTCTGTTCCTCCTTTCTAAAAGGAAATGTGAAATAATATTGGGGGTGGAGAGAACTTGGGGAATTGGGGAAGGCATGTAGAAGGAGAGCACTGAAGCGCTCCTGAGTTTCCGGGAGAGGTAATGGCAGTATCTCTGCTGCTTCCCAGTGCTTCCTGAATGCTGTGCTGCAGTGTTTGAGCAGCACTCGGCCTCTTCGAGACTTCTGTCTACGAAGGGACTTCCGGCAAGAGGTACCTGGAGGGGGCCGAGCCCAAGAGCTTACTGAAGGTAGGACAACTCCTCCTGCTTCCTCTATTTATTTTTCCCCAAACCCCTTGCAGGTCCATCTGCCAGTGCTCATGACCTCCAACCCATCAGTCTAACAGTTGTATCCATTTTTCCCACTGCCTACTTTCCTAGCGGTTGTTTTCTACCCTCCAGATGTCCTTTTGCCTGCATCTTTCAGATATTAACCTTTGTTTCCCTTCCCTAATCTCACCCCAACAGCCTTTGCAGATGTGATTGGTGCCCTCTGGCATCCTGACTCCTGTGAAGCTGTGAATCCTACTCGATTCCGAGCCGTCTTCCAGAAATATGTTCCCTCCTTCTCTGGATACAGGTGGGAGAGCTGGAGGGTATAGATTTCTCTCTGGTCATGTCTTGCGGGTAGTGCAACACAGGGACCCCAGCAACATTGTTCTGAGCCTTGATGTTCTCCATCCAGGAAGTAGGAACCATGTCTGGGCAGGGGATAGTATCTGTGGACAAGGAAGGGGTCAGTTTCCCATATTATCTGTCTGGCTATAGCCAGCAGGATGCCCAGGAATTCCTGAAACTCCTCATGGAGCGGCTGCATCTTGAAATCAACAGACGAGGTCGCCGGGCTCCACCAATCTTGGCCAATGGTCCAGCTCCTTCTCCACCTCGCCGAGGAGGGACTCTACTGGAAGAACCCGAGTTAAGGTAAGGGTTATTTCTCCTCCTTTCTCTCCCCAATAGTTTATCAACAGTGTTCATCCTTCACAGAGTTGAGCTTGTTAAGATTAGATATATAGGGCTGGGATTGTAACTCAGTGGTAGAGTGCTTGCCTAGCTCTCACGAGCCCTTGGGTTCAATCCCCTGTATCACCAAAAATAAATAAATAAACAAACAAACAAATACATATTAGAGCTGTAGGGTTCATGGAAATGCTTTAGAATAAAAAATCGTCTGAGAGGGGCTGGGATCATGGCTCAGTGGTAGAGTGCTTGTCTAGCATGCTTGGGGCACTGGTTTCGATCTTCAGCACCACATAAATGTAAAATAAAGATATTGTGTCCACTTAAAACTAAAAAATAAATATTTTTTTAAAAAGAAAATCCCCTGAGAAGAAGTGTGGCAGTAGAAAAAGGAAGTAGGCTGAGGAGTACAGAAAGAGACAGAAGATAGTGCCAGGGAATCACAGAATCAAGAGAGGAGGGAATAATTATAACAAAGTATATAAAAAGGGCTTGAAGCCAGGTGGAGGAAGACAGCATGTTCTTCCCCGGTATGTATTCCCATCTTTTCTTTCACCTTGGATTTCCCCAGAAATTTTCCTGAATTACTCCTTTGACTTTAACTAGATAAATTTGGAGGCAGAGTTGGGGTGTGGATGAACTACAGGCTCTATGGATCATTTTAGTGTGTTGGGGGTGCCTTGTTTCCTGCTGTCTCATGAGTGCTCCCTACTTCTCTGATCTATATGGTAGTGATGATGATCGAGCCAACCTAATGTGGAAGCGTTACCTGGAGCGAGAGGACAGCAAGATTGTGGGTATGAAATGGGGCAAAGCAATGGGGAAAAACTAGTTTGGGGCTTGGGCTTGGGGGAAAAATTGATTCTGTCAAGGGGTATGGAAACAAAACTGGATGATGAAGATGTGAAATGGTATGAAGAGTTTGTTAGGAGTATTGATGGTGAGAAAAGGAAAGTCATGCAAAGGGGCATAAAGAGACAGGATTTCAAGAAATCATGTCAGGCACCCAATAATGACTTTTTCTCCTGCCCCTTTGCTTCTGTCTAGACCTGTTTGTGGGCCAGTTGAAAAGTTGTCTCAAGTGCCAGGCCTGTGGGTATCGCTCCACAACCTTCGAGGTTTTTTGTGACCTGTCCCTGCCCATCCCCAAGGTGGGATTCCAGAGGATTCCAGGGGTGGAAGGAACACAGGTTCTATGATCCAAACCTACCCACCCCCAGAGTGTGGGCGGGAACCCTGTGGGTCTCTAGAGTATAACTGAAGCCTAGATTGATGAAGACTAGGAAAAGAAAATTCAGAACATGCTGACCCTTACTTCCCCTTTTCCTCCAGAAAGGATTTGCTGGGGGCAAAGTGTCTCTGCGAGATTGTTTCAGCCTTTTCACCAAGGAAGAAGAGCTAGAGTTGGAGAATGCCCCAGTATGTGGAGGTTCACAGGGGCTATAATAAGGGTGGGAGAACTGGGGAAACTCCAAAAGGAGAAAAGGGTACACGTGTTTCCTTAGTATGGGGAAAACCATTACATGTCTGCATTCGTGTTGGGGTCTCAGATGTGTCCCGGTGCTCCAAGGGCAAAGGGGTGTGGCCCAGAGGATACAGAAGTAATGGAGAACATTCTAAGTTTGTATGGTTTGGGATGTCAGAAAACCAGCTGAGGAGAGAACACATTAACTTAACACTGTTTGGCATTTATTCAGGTATGTGACCGATGTCGGCAGAAAACACGAAGTACCAAAAAGTTGACAGTACAAAGATTCCCCCGAATCCTCGTGCTCCATATCCTAATCCTCAAATTCTTACTTCACTTAGGATAACTCCCATACATTCTCTTTCCTCACCCTGTATGTTTGCAGAGGCTGGCCATTTGGGAATTGAATTTTCCTTAGAAAAGCCTGCCATCCAGCCTTCTCTTGGGGGAAAAAGGGGAACAGCATTTAGGGCTGCACTTCCCCTTAGAGACCCTCCACCTCCCAAATGCTCCTTAACCAGGGCTTAGATCTGAATCGATTCTCCACCTCCCGAGGGTCCATCAAGAAAAGTTCAGTAGGTGTAGACTTCCCACTACAGCGACTGAGCCTAGGGGATTTTGCCAGTGACAAAGCAGGTGAGTCTGGTGGGGAAGGTCCTGAGGAGCTTAGGAGGGGGGCTTACCTATGGTTATAGAACTGGATCATCTCTAACCCCATAGGAAGTCCTGTTTACCAGCTTTATGCCCTCTGCAATCACTCGGGCAGCGTCCACTATGGCCACTACACAGCCCTGTGCCGATGCCAGACTGGTTGGCATGTCTACAATGACTCTCGGTGAGAACAGCCTCCACTCCTACTGCAGCCCTGACACCTTCCCCTTCCATGTAACCCCAGGAGTTCAGAGGGCCCAGTGAAAGGAGCAGTGGGGGTCTTTCCTGATCTCTTGCTGGATTATCTGAGTTTAAGTCTTGTGGGGAGCATAAAATATACAGGAATGACTACAACTCTTTCCCCATCTCCCTTTTTCTTAGTGTCTCCCCTATAAGTGAAAATCAAGTGGCATCCAGTGAAGGCTATGTGCTGTTCTACCAACTGATGCAGGAGCCAACTCGGCACCTGTGAAACCCTTTCAACACCCTTAAGCCCCAGGCTCCCCATTTACCTCAGAGACGTCTATTTTTGTGTCTTTTTAATCGGGGAGGGGGGAGGGGGTGGTTGTAGCTCCCATTATTTTTTTTATTAAAAGTACCCTTCCACTGGAGACTCCCTCGTCTCCCAGCCCTGTGTACAGAGCTTATCAGGCCCCTGCCCATGTACAGCCCCCATACCCTCTGCAATCTCACTTTTTGTGAATAAATTTATTAAGAAAAAGTAATGTTCTTTTTTGTATTTGTGCTTGGGGGTGGAAATACAGAATTGGGTCCAATTGAAATCTTCCTGGGACCCAGCTCCATATGTGAACAGGTGGGGCGCCCTCAGGGCGAAGGAGGAGGGGTAGGGAGTGGAGCACGACCAGGACGTGCGTGCCCAAGCAGTGAGGGTTTTGTATTGGAAGAAGGCGGCAGGCAAATCTTGAGATTCGTGAAGCTGCGGGGAAGCCTAAAACTGGTGCAGACACTGGGAAGACGGGTTTTGCCGAAGATGGGGGCTGCCCCTCGAGAGTGAGGCATTCAAGAACCCCTGTTGACAAACACTAGGTACGTTGCCGGGCGGCCCTAGCTCCCGTAGGCCCGGACTGTTGCTAACATCAAGGAGCTGTTTGTGGAGCAGTCTCCCCGCGGATTGGCCCCTAGTCTCCCCGTCTATTCTCTCTACAACCAAAGCTCCTGGGGCCAATCCCTCTAGGGTTCTCACTCTAGCTGGGCCTGGGAAGCCTCAGCTGTGGAATGCTATTTCCCGGATTCAGCACTCGCCATCTTAGCCCTAGGGAGGAAAGCGCCCAGCTACAACAGCTCCCTTCAACTTGGCACTGAACGGGTCAACCTCTAGTTCTATCCACAGAATCAACTCTGACAGCTGCTGTCGCTCCGCCTGTAACGTCACTGCCGGTTCAGTGTTTTCATTGGTGATTGTGATCCGGGGTCTTTCAGGACCCACCAATCCAGAAGCCGGGAAGAGAAGCTTCCCCGCATGCCGCCAGAATAGAGTGGACGCAGAGTCCGAAAGACCTAAAAGGGGTCGGGGGCGGGGTTAGCAGACCTCAAGTATTAGGTGTCTCCAGAGGCGTGGGAAGTAGAGCTCCTCAAAACTCCGGCATCCAGCCTGCCGACTCACCCCTGCGAGGGCAGATAGTGTGGGCGTGGCCCTTATCTCGCCCTGCGGAGCGCCGGCGGGGAGAGGTTTCCGTACCTCTGCCTCCTTCTACCTCATTTTCTCTTGTCCCTATCTAGTAGATGAACTCTGGCCCCTGGGCGAAGACCTCGCTTGTCCACCGACCCATCCGCGAGCTCTGCCTTAGTTTCTTCTAAATCAGTGGGTGGCCGAGGGTGGAACGTGGAATCAGCGGGGCTTCAGGAGCCCAGGTGCCTCCCAGTCTGTCTGTCAGTGTCGCCCCTTGTCTCCAAGCTTCCCAATGAGCCGGACTGTGGTCGTGCTGGGCGGAGGCATCAGCGGCTTGGCCGCCAGTTACCATTTGAGCCAAGCCCCACGTCCACCTAAGGTGAGTACTTCATCCGTGCCAGAGGTAGCCTCATTTAATGCTCTTTAATTTCCAACAAAAGCTGGGTGGATCCTGGCCGGTGGTGCGCCCAACCCCCACGCCCCGCGGCTTCAGATGGTACTGCAGTGGCTTCTTCTTGTCGCCAGGTAGTCTTGGTGGAGGGTAGCAAGCGTTTGGGAGGCTGGATCCGTTCAATCAGAGGGCCCGGTGGTGCGATTTTTGAACTTGGACCTCGGGGAATTCGGCCAGCCGGAGTTTTGGGAGCCCGCACTCTGCTCCTGGTGAGAGGCTTGTGGAATGTATAAGAAGAGGTTGCAGAGGCGGGGTTTTATTAAGGGGTTAGAGTTTGGTGGGCCAGACCCTTTGCTTAGTTTCTCCTCTTTCTGAGGATATGTGGAGAGCAGATTTCTGAGCTTGGCTTGGACTCAGAAGTGTTGCCTGTCCGGGGAGACCACCCAGCTGCCCAGAACAGGTTCCTGTATGTAGATGGTGCCCTGCACCCCCTGCCTTCTGGCCTCAGGTAACACCCCCACGTCTTTACTGCACATCCTTTTGCTTTGCCCCTTCCTCGCAGCCCTTCCATTTCTTCATCTCCATGTCTGTCAGCCCTTCCAGCAGAAAAGGGCCAAATGAATGGAAGTAAGCCCCTGGATCTGTGAAGATAATACAGGAGGCTTCCTCTTCACTATTGCCTTCCTCCACACAGGGGGCTACTCCGTCCTTCACCCCCCTTCTCCAAACCTCTGCTTTGGGCTGGGCTGAGGGAATTGACCAAGCCCCGGGGCAAAGAACCTGATGAGACTGTGCACAGTTTTGCCCACCGCCGTCTTGGACCTGAGGTGACACTGCTCAGAGGCCTCCAACCTCTCACTGCCTAAACCAGCTTCAGAATCCCCCCCCCCACTCAGACCTACCCTAGGGGCTCTTTTGTGTCATTTGGGATGCCCTCTTCTTGTCATACTCCACTAATCTCCAAAACTCAAATCCTTCCCTACCAAGCAGGGGCAGTGGAAGCTTATTCACTGCAGCTTATTCCTTGGCCTCTCAGTCTCAGTCTTACTCTTAAGGTGGCATCTCTAGTCATGGACAGTCTCTGCCGTGGAGTGTTTGCAGGCAATAGCCGTGAGCTCAGCATCAGGTCCTGTTTTCCAAGTCTCTTCCAAGCTGAGCAGACCCATCGTTCAGTAATACTGGGGCTCCTGCTGGGAGCAGGTGAGGGGCAGATTGGTTCAAAGAGTGAAGATATTAAGGACTGCCAGAGTCAGGCAAGGGGTGTTAGTTTGGTGATTCTTTTCTGCTGCTTTTTCTTCAGGGAAGAGCCCACAGCCAGACTCAGCACTTATTCGCCAGGCCCGGGCTGAGCGCTGGAGCCAATGGTCACTCCGTGGAGGGATGGAGACGTTGCCCCAGACCCTTGACACCTACCTGACTAGTAGGGGAGTCAGTATTCTCAGAGGTCAGCCAGTATGTGGGCTCTCTCTCCAAGCAGAAGGGCACTGGAAGGTAGGGTAACTTTCAGCAGTGTAATAAACCTGTATCAATGTTTTTTGTTGTTGTTGTTGTTTTTAATATTTATTTAGTTTTTTGGCGGACACAACATCTTTCTTTGTATGTGGTGCTGAGGATCGAACCCAGGCCGCATGCATGTCAGGCGAGCATGCTACTGCTTGAGCCACATCCCCAGCCCCCTGTATCAATGTTTCCATCTTTAAGTAGTTTAGCCAGGCCAAGGCTGGTAGAATTGGAATTACTCTTTTCCTTGCCTTAGAAATTATTTAGAGTCAGGTCTGGGGGTACACACCTGTAATCCCAGTGACTTAGGAGACTGAAGCAGGAGGATCACAAGTTCAAAGCCAGCCTGGGCAACTTAGTGAGACCCTGTCTCAAAATAAAAAGGGCTGAGGATGAGGCTCAGTGGCAGAGCACCCCTGGGCTCAATCCCCAGAATTGGGGGAGAAAATAGTTATTTATTCATGGACTAGCCCAGATTCCTAGGGGCCTTATTTGTGGACCTTCCTCCGAGACCCCTTTGATGCAAGTCTGTGGATAGAAGTTGGAATTATAGGGCCTGGGGCTCAGCAGTAGTGCACTTGCCTGGCATGTGTGAGGCACTAGGTTCGATTCTCAGCACCACATACAAATACATAAATAAGATAAAGGTCTATCAACTATTAAAAATAATTTTTTAAAAAGTCTAAATGTTAAAAAAAAAAAGAAGTTGTAGTGGTCAGAGAAGGGGGAATATAACTTAGTGGTAGAGCACTTGCCTAGCATAGGTGAGGCCTTGGGTTCGATCCCCAGCATTGCCAAACAAAAGTAGGAAGATAAATGGTCAGAGAATCAGAGATAAGGAAGGAACAACCCAGCTTCACCTAACATTCCAGAGCAGCCACACTGGCCTCTGGCCCACTTCCTAAGGTGAGCTTTATGCAGATGATGCAATCATTCAGTGTCTTCATCCTGAATTAGCATCCAGTCTTTCCTGCTACTAGGAAACTGAGAAGAGTACAGTAAAAATCTCACTTCATCCTTAAAGTTCTCATTATTGCTATGTCTCTCAAATGTTTTCATTTTCTCAGGTGATGTTTTCATTTTCTCAGGTGTCTCTGGGGGATAGCAGTCTGGAAGCCGACCACATTATTAGTGCCATTCCAGCTTCAGGTAATGGAGTAGTCCTTTCCCTTTCCCCAACCAGCATGAAGCAATAACTGTTTCTTCCTGGGCCAGCAGGACCACATCATGCCCCTAAGCTGATCATCCCTATGAAGTCTAATCTCAAAGAGAGCTGACAAAATTGTAGTATGAATTTCTCCTGAATCAGGCCTGTTCTCCTCCAGCACTCAGCAAGCTGCTCCCTACAGAGGCAGCTCCTCTGGCTCAAGTCCTTAATAACATCACTGCTGTGTCTGTGGCTGTGGTGAACCTACAGTACCGAGGAGCTTGCCTGCCTGTCCAGGTATAGTATGGAGGGGGAAAAAAAGGTGTAGCCTCAGATGGAGTTTTTCCTTCTTATTTTTTTTTTTCCCTTCAGGGATTTGGACATTTAGTACCATCCTCAGAAGACCCAGGTGTCCTGGGAATCGTGTATGACTCAGTTGCTTTCCCTGAGCAGGATGGGAGCTCCCCTGGCCTCAGAGTAACTGTGAGAGCAGGACATGTTGTATAGTGGGCTTTCCAAAGGACTCTTTTTTGCCCCATTGTAGGCAAGGCCAAGCTGGTCAGTGCCATATTCCCTTCACAGGTAATGTTAGGAGGTTCCTGGTTACAGACGCTGGAGGCTAGTGGCTGTGTTTTATCTCAGGAGCTATTCCAGCAGCAGGCACAGGAAGCAGTTGCCACACAATTAGGACTGAAGGAGCCACCAAGTCACTGTTTGGTCCATCTACACAAGGTGAGTTGGGGTAAATCCCTATTGTAGACCTTGCATACAAGGTATATTTGTTACTGTAAGTCAACCAAGGCCTGGAAAATCAATAATAAACTTTATCCTGTATCCCCTTTCCTCTTCCCAGAACTGCATTCCTCAGTATACACTAGGCCACTGGCAAAAACTGGGTAAGGTGGGAAAGCAGCTGGGCTGAGGGCTGAGGAAATGAGACCTGTAGCCACAAAATTCCTTTTATTCTTTCCTTCTAGAGTCAGCTATGAAATTCCTGGCTGCTCAAAGGTTGCCCTTGACTCTGGCTGGAGCCTCCTACGAGGGGGTTGCAGTCAATGACTGTATAGAGAGTGGGCGCCAGGCAGCAATCAGTGTCTTGGGCCCAGAATCTAACAGCTGATCCTCAGCTCCCACTCATGAAATAAAAGTTACTGGATCTTAGCATGGTATGGCTATTCTGGCATCTATGGTCTTGAGGGTAGAGGGGGTTCAAGGAGACGTAAAGTGTGCCTGGGATGCAGAAAGCAGGAGCAGAAGCGAGACAAAGTCCTTTATTAGAAAATATATCAAAATCCCAGCCCCCTGAGCCAGGACCAGAAAAGGGAGCTACTCCAGCACTGGCAGAAAGTGCCCAGGGAGGGGCTTCCTTCACCAAACAGCTTCCTGGAAACCATAAATAGAATAAATATTCACAGAGGTCCCAGGAGAAGCCAGATCACTCTTGGAAGAGAGTGGTCACCATGGAAGAGGAAGGGACTTGGGGTCCAGCCCTGCTCCTACCCCAGAGGCAGGGGACTCCCAGGAGTTGTCACATAAAAGTATGACATCAAGGATTCACAGTCATAAGCCCTGGCAGGTGACCCTAGAAAGAGGGACCTCCAGGTCTAGAGGAGCCCAGCTCCATTCTAGCAGTAAGGAAGGCCCCTGCCCCCCAACATAGCACTAGAGTTCAATTCCCCCACATCCCTCTAAGAGCAGTGAGGAGCTGAGGGTAGGGAGAATACAACCCTTCTGATTCAGTTTCATGATTAAGGTGGGCAAGGAGGAGTCAGTGTGGACCACGGCGGGCTGTGTGGTTGGCAGTAGGCAGAGGGCCAGGCCTAACTGGGGGCCGGCGCTGCAGCATCTCTTGACGGAAGGCCTGGGAAGAACCAGGTGGGTAGCGGGGACCAGGAGGAGCCCGGGGACCCCGAGGATCAGTCCCAATGTCTGCTGTGACGTTGGTATAGAGAGGACCCAGTTCTCGAGCCAGCAGTCGGTATGTCAGTGAGTTCATCCCATCTTGAGTCCAGGAGTTTTGAGTACGGACCAGGAGGTCAAATCTAAGGGTTAGAGGTTGGATACTAAGACCCAGAAAGGAACAACCAGGAATCTAGGGACCTTTGGTCCTGGCTAGGAGTATGTAACCTTGAGAATTTAGTAACAATTACCAGGTAGTTTTCCCTTCCTACCTGTGGGGATTTTCCTCGTTGCCCTTATCTCCTCGATGCTTTACCATCTTATAGTGTCCCACAGATGTGGGGGGCCGAGAGATCTTCATCCCAGCCAGGCGCACCCTATGGGGAAAGTGAGGGGATCTTGGAGGATCCAGAATGAAAACAAGCTGCTGATAGGTAAACAAGAAAAGCAAAGCAAGGAAGGGACTGCATGATTCTATACACAAGGAACAATTATTACCAGTAAGGATTATAAAAAGTGCCTAAGTATGAGAAGGTAGGAGAAAATCAAACAGCAAAAAAGGAAATACTTGAAGAGAATGTAAAGGCTGAATGTATCCAAATCCTTAGGGCCCAGTGCCAGGCACCCTGGGCCTTTAAACAATTGGCAAAGGTAGTTCTGCCCTCCTACCTTTGTTTCCTAAGTAGCTCCTAGGAGCTGCCTTTGCAGTCTGGGAAGGACAAGGAAAGAAACCATTTTGTTGAGATGATATGATTGGGTATTGCAGACCCCAAACCTTTTTTCTTTCTTTCTTTCTTTCTTTTTTTTTTTTTTTGGTATTAGGAATAGAACCCTAGGCCTTGCACATGCTAAGCACATATGCTCTCCCCCCAAGCTACATCCCCAGCCCAGCAATTCTTATTTAGAATAGTGACTCAACTCCTCTCCCTCTGCTACCATGTGTTTTAAAAAAAAAAAAAAAAAAAAGCAGAACCAGGTAATCAGGATCTTAAGTTCCAGTTCTGACACAGAAGCAAAGGTGAAGATGGCCTGTGAAGGAACTGAAAGAATAACAGACATTTAGAATTTGTCGGGTGCTTTACACATAGAATTCACATAAAGGGCCGAGTATGGTGGTGCACGCTGTCGGGAGGCTGAGACAGGAGGATTATGCGGGGATCTTGGAGGATCCAGAATGAAAACAAGCTGCTGATAGGTAAACAGCCAGCCTTAGCAGAAGCAAGGTGCTAAGCAACTCAGTGAGACCCTGTCTCTAAATAAAATACAAAATAGGGCTGGGGATGTGGCTCAGTGGCTGAGTGCCCCTGAGTTCAATCCCCAGTACCAAAAAAAAGAATTCACGTAAAGATGTGATTCCAGCCAGGCACTGTGGCACACACCTGTAATCCCAGCAACTCAGGAGGCTGAGGCAGGAGGACCACAAGTTCAAAGCCAGACTCATAACTTAGCAAAGCCCTAAACAACTAAGTGAGACCCTGTCTCCAATTTAAAAAAAAAAAAAAAGGTCTTGTGTCAGTGGTTAAGTGCTTCTGGGTTCCATCTCTGGTACCAAAAACAAATAAATAAATAAGGCAAGACTAAACCATCTGTAGGCCCATTTCCAGCTCTGGAATTCCATGATAATATTTCCTACTGATATTTTCTCCTCTCAGGAATATAACTAACCAGATCTAGAAAACTGAAAGATAGAATGGGCAGTAGTATGCAAAGCCTTATGTAGGTATACTGAAAAGCAAAGGGAAAGGAATAGATTTAGTGCAGGACCAGGGAGCTAAAGTTTGGCATTGAAAGGCTATGTTCATAGGTGGTCTTACAGGATGGGGTGAGGAGGGAAGTGGTGCATAAATCTGACCTGGTAGCTATGTCGTCATCCTCACCACCCCAGCCCCAGTATTCATTTGGGAAGCCATTCATCTTCAGGTACTGGTCAGGAGTGAGGGCTGAGACTCCTCCGAAGTACTGGGGGTACGGGAGGCTAGGGAGAAAAAGATCCTTGCATTCGACAGGTCTTCTGGGAAGATATCCCTACCCACAATTCCCTTAGCTGTCCTCTTTTCTTTGGATGGTTCCATTTCCTGCTTCCCAGCATTCTTCTATGTCCTTTACCTGTATCCAAACTTGTTCATGGCAACAGCAACATGGCGGGGTCCTCGAGGGTCACACACATAGAGATTGTGGTCATTTTCTGGCAGGAGGTCCACATCATGCAAGAACAGGCAGTCCCACTCTTCATCACGCAGTGCTTCCCGCACCCCAACATTGAGCAGTTTTGCCCTGTTAAATGTTCCATTTCCAGCCTGGAAGATAATAGAAGGGAATCAGGCTATTTCTGTAAGTAACATGAAGAAGAGGGGCTTGAGCAAAAAAGGAAAATCAAAGTAAGATACCAAACAAGGAGAAAGAAGGGAAAGGCAAACTATCTTTTTCATTTAGTCAATTCAACAATTTTTTCTTGCATTCAGTATGTGCCTGACATTTAGTTGCTGCTATTTAGCATTTCATCCTGACAACCAATAGCAAGATGGAACAGGTGGCATATTAGTAATCTATTGCTCTTTGCCTCCAGGTTCTACCCAAGGATT